AAATATATATATATATATATATATATATATATATATATATATATATATATAAATATATATATATATACATATACATTTATATACATACATATATATATATATATAAATATATATATATATATATATATATATATATATATATATATAGAGAGAGAGAGAGAGAGAGAGAGAGAGAGAGAGAGAGAGAGAGAGAGAGAGAGAGAGAGAGAGAGACAGAGAGAGAGAGAGAGAGAGAGAGAGAGAGAGAGAGAGAGAGAGAGAGATCTGTGTGTGTGTTAAATATATATATGCATATACATATGTGTGTGTATATATATATATATATATACATATATATATATATATATATATATATATATATATATATATATATATATATATATATGTATATATATATATTTGTGTGTTTTTTGTTTGTTTTAGTAAATATTGATACATGTATATATATATATATATATATATATATATATATATATATATATATATATATATATATATATATATATATGTATATACATATATATTCATACACATGCAAGTTTGTCTATATAACTATATGCAGACAGATAAATAGTTAACAATGAAAGAGAGAGAAAGAGAGAGAGAGAGATGTCGACATCTGTTCATGAAAGCCCCTTCCCCCTTTTACTTTACCTGGTTTACTCACTTGCTTTACATATTTGTTGTTGACCCCTTCCTGCTTGTAGCTGTGTCTGCCCTATTTCATTCGCGTAATATGCTTTGGAAGGGACAGTCTAATATCTACATGCTTGAAAATGTCTCCTCTGGCGCGTGTGCACTGGTCTTGCCGCTCTGATGACTCAGGGATTAAAGGGGTCTTGCGAACCTTCAACACTGACATGCTTGCTAATTTGCTATGATGGTTACGTCTTAGATATATGTTTGCCTTCTGCACAGAATAACAACAACTATGAATACAATCAAACAGAAGTATTTCAAAGGAACAAACAAAAGCATGAAAAATCAAAGTGAACAATCGATATAAATAAACAAAGTGAATAGTGTAAGAGTCTCGTAAGGATGGAAGTATTAGAGTTTTGACTGTAGTTTCTAGATTAGAACACCGCCTCTATTTCTTCTTACCATTCCAGACAAAAGAAAACAGGTGACAGCCAAGGCCTGTCCTCCTCTTAAACAAAATTTAACGAACTTTTTGCGGCCCATCCGTCGCTTTTCAAGTTCCAGAGGAAGCTCAGTAGCTTTCTATTCGAGGTCGGATGATGATACAGAGCCTTGTATCGCGGGCCTACTGTAAGAAGAGGTTTGAGAAGTGCTTTAAAGAGATGATGCTTGATGCCATTAAAATCGATGAAGCCACTTTAAGGTTTGTTTGGCCAAAGTAGCTTTTGAATTTAGTGCAAGTGAAAACGGAGAAGGTCAAATGTTAAACCAAGTGCAAGCATGAAGAGGCGGCGCTAGTGCGAGCATCGTTTCGAGTTAAATGTTGTGTGAATGAATATTTCAGCTTCGGGAGGTCAGTTGCATATAATGTATATAGTGTTAGACTGTGAATGCTACCTTGAGGTACTCCAGAATGCATGAGAATAATGCTGAGCAACCTTTGAATACAAGAGAAGAAACAGAATTTAGTGCATATCTCGTACTTCAAGTCAGCATATCAGACCGTGATAAAGACACGCTCCACATCTTTGGTTGTAGTCGCTGTTTTGTGGAGATAGAGTTAGAGTCTTTAATGTACCGGCCTATCCAGTTGTTTATGTTCAGTAGTATTTTGCCAACCGTCTAAAATAGATTAACAGGGTGGTAGTTTTTTTTGTCAGTCAGTTCTTTTTGTGGCTTAGGCATGAGATCTACGACAGTAGTTTATAGAGAGTGGGGCAGTAGCTAGAAGCAAGAGAGGCAAGGGGCAGTAGCTAGAAGCAAGAGAGGCAAGGGGCAGTAGCTAGAAGCAAGAGAGGCAAGGGGCAGTAGCTAGAAGCAAGAGAGGCAAGGGGCAGTAGCTAGAAGCAAGAGAGGCAAGGGGCAGTAGCTAGAAGCAAGAGAGGCAAGGTAAAATGTTATTGGCTGGTGAATAAGTACGCCTCGCCCAATTTGCAAAGAACCTGGAGCTTTCGAAGAGTCCTCATTGTGGTTGATTTTACCTGTTTATTAGATATGTGTCCAGTAAATGATTGGTTCTTGTGCTGTTTCAACCCAGTGGCACTAGGCACTGAGTAGATTAATGTGACTTACGAAAAGAGGGCGGGTAAGTGAGGGGAAACTAATCCCATTAATCATGTTTTGGGGGGGGGGATTTCCAAAGGATCTGTAACACAAATGTTGCCCTTGAGAGGTGAATGAAATGGATAGAGAGTTATGAAGTCGCGTTATTTTCTCCCAAAATTCCAGTGGTGTTAGGAATCGAGTTGATCTATATATCTTACTGATTTACTCGAAGATTTTGTAACTCTCCTAGAAACGAAAGATCCTGCTGCATATGGTATAACCGATGTAGATTTAGAAATAATTTCTTAACAGA